TTTCCCCATCTGTAAAAAGAAAATACTTTCTACCTCTTGCTGGAAAATACTTGACTGAAATACAGCAAGAGTTCAGTACACTGAGTACCTTGTCCATCCCCATGTTCGCTGGATTTCCACCTAGGGGTTATCTCTGAGCTCACATGTCTGAGCATCGGTCAGGACTGTACCCGCGGTAAAGCAGATCATCACGAGTACATATGTTCATGAGGGGACAGCTGGGGGTTGGCTGAAGGTTTATTCGGGGTTGGAGCACCCTACTGGGATTCACTGCACATTGATGAAGAAATTGCAGAATAACTGGGAGTCCTAGCAATTCTGCCTCTTGGGAGATTTCACCAGACCTTGGCATGGAGACTGGTGCCTGGACCTGGCCCCGCTGACGCGGCCCTCTCCAGAAAAACCCGGCTGATGACAAAGTGTTGATTTAAAATAATAAACACGAGGACTCCAATGTGCATGGCAAAATGTCAGTGAAATCACGTGGGTGAAAGGTGGGACCTAAAATGCATTTGCACGATGATGCCAGACTGGAAACACCCTGTTTACACACAGAAAAGGATCAGAAAAGGCCCCAGAGAAATGTGACCAGGGGAAGCACTGAGGGGGGAACTTTCTGCAAAGTTGTTCACATGTTCAATAATTGACTATTCTTCCCCCACGTGCAGCTGGATTCGATGGCCTCCTGGTCCCCTTCTGTGCATTTCCTTATTATCCCGGTTCCTACATGATACCCATCTGCACGCTTTTTGTAGAGGATGAGCCATCTGTGGGACAGGGGCAGAGCCCAGGGCGAAAGGACCAAGAACCGTGTTGGCTTTGCCCCCACCCAGCCTGTGTCCTGCACACATGCCTCAGCTGCTCAGAGCCCCAGGCTGCTGCCTCCCCGCCCAGCTCCCGTTCCTGCTTCCCCCACTCACTTCTCATACACTCCTGGCCACGTTCCCAACAGGAACATTCTGTCACAGGCTTCTCCCTGCCCTTGCAACCAATTCCCAGGGTGAAACAGAGGGGCGCTTCCTAGGATATTTTAGGTCCTCCCACCTCTTGGCACTGTTCTTCAACACTGCTTATAGCAAAGGCATCTGGGGGCAGCCACAGATGCAGGAAGGAGGCCCAGATGCCAGCTTCCAGAGAAAAAGAGGCTTTCAGGGAAGCCCCCTGCCCTCACACCCACCATCTCACTCACCAGTGATCCCTCCCCAGTTACCAGCCCCTCTGTCTTCTCTTGTCCTCCTGAGCCTCAGTTTCCTCATCTGTAAAATGGAGCCAGTAACACCCAGGGGTGATTGAGACGATGTGTATGAACTTTAGCTCCAGCCTACAGACAGGGCATCTGAAGCATCAGCTTCCTCACACCCTCCCCACTGAAGCCCCCCGGAGCCGAATATTCATTCACTGGGCGAATGATTTGCTCTGTGATTTGTAGGTGTGAAAGGAATCCCACATCCACTGCTCTATCATGTTCTCATTTGTGAATAAAGGTCTTAACAGGCTAGTAACTCCAAGAGAGAGTTTTGCCCCTAAATAGCCTTTCTGCCGTGAAATAAAGCTATAAAATATGTTTCAGGGGTTCCTCGCTCCTAGCTTGCCACAGTCTCATTCCTTTCAGGACCCTGTCAGAAGCTAACAGGTGTCTGTGGGCACATGTGAGGGTCCTGGGAGCAGCCACGGGCCGCAGGAATGTTCCCTACCTCGGCTGCATTTTCTCCCCACTCCCATCTCCCCCTTCATCCTCCCCCATCAGCAGCTGCCTGGTCCTGCCCTCCACCCCCTCCTGCTTCATCAGCTCACCCCTTGGGCGGCTCGGGGTGAGTAAAAGGCAAGCTGGGCCAGGAGCCAGGCAGGGGGAGGGATGTGGGAAAGGCCTACCGGCCGCAGCTTGCTCCTCCCTCCCTCCAACCCCACGCCGCGCTCTCCTCCACCACAGCCTCCGATGACATGATCTGACGCCCTTCAGTCCCAGACCCCAAAGGCTGCGAGCCCATACCTGTTGCTCAGTTAGAGCCACCCATTCACTGATAAACGAAGCCCCAGCATCGCCCCATCCCACAGCCCCGGACTCCACCTGCTGTTCAGTGGGAACCCTGACCTGCCTACCTCCCAAGAGAAGAACCCAGGCAGCGCAGGCTGTGTGGCTTGTCCCTGACACTTCAGGCTACCCTGAGGCCCCTGTGTCCTTCTGTCTTTCTCCCACAGAGCCAAATATGGGTTTGAGGGGATGAAGGGTGCAGAGGAAGAAGACTTGGGCACTGGAAAGGTTCCTTCGGTGCTGCCGGTGACAGCAGCACTCACAAACCCCCAGAAATCCAGTGTCTGCTTCTAACTGGAAAACTGGGTTCATCCCCCCACCAGCCCAGAAGGGGGTCCCTGGCTGGAGCCAACAGGTGACAGGAGAAGAGAAAGAAAAAGGGAGTCTATGGGCAGAAGACAGCAAAGCAAGGAGGTGCCGGGGGCTGGGGCTACTCTGATTGTGGGGGGAGGGGGGGTCTGGTTGCCGGTTCTCATACCCCTGTCCTCCAGCCCCTGCCCACTCCTATCCCTGATGGTACCCCATGCCGGGAGGTAACAGGGGACCAGGGGAGCTGCAGGCAGGTGAGCGAGCTTCATTCCATGGCCGGGGGGCGGGGGGGGGGGTCTGTGTCTAGGTGCTCTCTCCATGACAACACAGGGCCACAGGGGGCTCAGGGTTCCACCGTATTCTGAGAGACCAAATGCAGGGACACTGTGACTTAAGACTTTGGTGAGTGGGCCTGGGAACCCAGGCACCTTTTAAAAAGTCACATGATGGGACTTCCCTGATGGTCCAGTGGGTAAGACTCCACGCTCCCAATGCAGGGGGCCTAAGTTTGATCCCTGGTGGGGGAACTAGATCCCACATGCATGCCGCAACTAAAGATCCTGCATGCTGCAACTAAGACCTGGTGCAGCCTAAATAAATATTTTTTTAAATTGTTAAAAATAAAAATATATATATATATATATAAAGTCACATTAGTCCCAAACAAGTGACTCAGAAACTTCTGGAACACAGCCCACTGAAAGCTGGGGCCTCCTGCATTCTATCTCGGGCTCCCAAATGGACCTTGGGAGTCACCTCTCCCTCCCCATCTAGTCCCAAAGCTGCCTCCATGTCAAGGTCATGCTCTCCTGGGATACTAATATTGCTATTCTTGATTTACTTATTTTTCTATCTTTTTTTTCTGTTTCCTAATCTTTTGGAGTTTTTCTTAGCAGCGCCCAAAGGACACCAGCAATCAAGGGTTCAGCCTCTTGGGCTCCAGTGGGGAGAATTTCTGATTTGCTCCCTTCATGGGCAGCAAAGCACATGGGAAACTCATGTGGTCCAGGGGCCCTGGCAGAGAGGAAAGGGCTAGAAGTGACTGTTCAGTAAAAGGAAAGGGTTCAGAGTTTGATCCCAGGCCCCAGAGGCTGCCATGCCCACCTATCTGCCCCCAAGCTGTGCTTGTCACCGATTCCTGATAGGAATGCCTCTCTCGCCATTCTTGCCCAGAAAGCTTCCAGCAGGGCCCTCAGCTGGCAGCAGCACAACCTTAGGTTCAACAACCCGGAAGTCATGAGGGGAATGGCAGGCTGTCACCCTTTACGCACAGGGCATTGGGAGAAAAAGGGACCTTTCTGTGTGCCTGCACCAATCCGTGTGCACCAGCCCAGGGCTGGGCCCCTGCAGCATCAACACACAAAGCTTCTGTGAGAGAAGACACTGTGTGAGCCAGAATGGGAAAACAGGAAGAATATTGGTCCAAGAACTAGGAAAAATTTAAAACAGAAGAAAAACCTGTGTTTCAATCTAACTAAGCGGGAGGCAATGGGACAGCCCCACAGGTTTCTTGCATCAACCACCAACGGCACTGCTGCGCCCCTGGACACTCAGCCCCCAATCACAGGAGACTAATGGCTTTGGCCAAGATGGCGGTAGCAGTGTGACGTAGTAGCAAGAGCACTGAAATGGGAATCTAGAAATGGACATTCCAGCCGCTGACTGCCACAACTAGCTGCGTGGCCTTAGAGAGGTCACTCTCCATCTCTGGGCTCATATATAAAATAAGCAGGTAGTGGGTAGGACGCACAGCTGTGGAATTCATTGACTGTAAGCCCTGTGGAGCCCCCGCCCCCAGATAGGTTACCAGATAATAAGTGCAGAAGGCCAGGAATCACACCTCCCGATCTCTGTAGCCCCTCAGAACCTACTCAGGGTCTTGGCACCCAGTGGGACCACAAGACTACCTATTAGTTAAGCTGAGGCCAAAATTTCACCCCTTCCACAGGAAGGCATCCTCTGGAACCAGCAGACACCCCCTCGCTGTGGCCGGCGACCCTGGCCCCGTTTGCATCCCCATGACATGCCTTCTGTGGGGAGACCACCACTCCCTACATCATCTGACTGTTCGGGCACCCTGAGCTCCCAGCAGAAGTGGGATTTACGACAAACACACAGTCCTTCACGTCTCCTTATCTGAGGTTACCCACAACCTTTGATCTTAATAACAACCACTTTAGGCAGGCCAACTCTGTCCCCATTTGACAGAGGGGCACTGAGTCCACACACTCAGTCTCTCGCCGAAACCAGTCGATGACAAGCTAGAGACCAGAAGCCAAGGGTGCCCTCTTTCCCCACAAGAGGTCTTCCCAGCAGAGCTCAACGACAAACACAAGGCTGCCTCGCTCAAGACCAGGCCCAGGCGGGCCTTCCTGCCACCCACGCGGGCTGGGCACAGGTGACAGAGTGGCCAATGTTCGGAAATCCTCCAATCCCTAAGGCCAACCACAGACAAGCTCTGTTGCAAAGCCAGGGGTTGAGGGAGAGCTGGTCCTTCCTGCACAGGCAGATGAGAACCCCAGACCACGACCCCTGCCCCCCGACATTCTGACTCAAGGGCAAAGAAAACAATGCCACCCCCATCTCCAAAACGGGTACCACCTCAGCTGAGAGCTGCTGGGAAGAGAAGCCGCTGGGTGGGACAAAAGGTGGGACTCACCTCCCTCAGCAACTGCATCCCCTTCAGCCCATCCCGCTGCTGCTGGGCCACGGTGACCCCCAAGACGAGCGTGTGCACGACGCAGGAGACCACAGAGATGATGACGATGGGGCTGAGGCTGAGGGGCAGCGTGATAAAGAAGGAGAAGACGAAGAAGGCCTGCCAGCCCACCGTGTCGCTGGCTGCATGGGCGCGGGAGAAGTTCAGGCCCAGGTACGAGAAGACCTGGGCTGTTATCAGCAGCCACAGCAGGTAGGGCACCACTTTCCGGGTGACCCGGTTGGGCAGCAGCCCCTTTTTGCAGAGCACAAACAGGATGATGTCCAACACCAGCCCCACCCCGGCCACAGCCAGGGGAGCCAGCTTGTCACTGGAGAAGACCACCGCGCACATGACCACCACGTAGCAGTCGAAGAGGGCCGCGAACACCACCAGCACCAGCAGCGTCTCGTGGCGCTGCCTTTTGAAGTAGGTCTGGTACAGGTTCTCCAAGGACTCCGGCACGAAGGTCAGCCGCATGAAGCGAGGCAGGCACAGGCAGGATCCCGAGTTCCGGACAGAGATCTCATGGGTCCGGCCCACCCTGCGGTCAGGGTCAGAGGGCAGGCTGACGGAGTACTCGGCTGAGTACTCGGCCGAGTACTCAGGATCGGAGAAGCCCTGGGTCCTCGGCATCCTGGCTGGTGTCTGCTTCTACTGGCTCTGGAGAAGCGGACGGTGAACAGAGGAGGGACTCTGGAATGGGCCACCTACCAGGGCTCTTGGGGACCTGGGGCAGGCTGACGGCCGGCCCCCTCGGGCAGGAACACAGAGCTGGCTTCCCCGGCACAGGCAGCACTGACCATCTGGAACTTAAAAGGACATCACTGAGTAGAAGCCCCTCTTCCTTCCTACCTGTGCTTTCTCCACAACCCACTCCAGCTGTCCTCAAAGAATCCTTGCTCCAAGGGGCTCCAGAACCAGGGCCGTTCTCCCGCCTCCCCCATGCTCACTCCACCACCCGACCACACACACTTAGTCCTGACCGCCCAAACACTCCGTCTCCTGTCTCTGCCTATGGACGGGCCTGGCCACCTCTCCATCCGTCGCACCCTTGGTCATCTCGTCTCTCTCAGTCCCTGACTTCCTCACGTAAATCTCCTCCAGGCCCAAGCCTTAGAAGGTCTAGATAAAACAAGCTAGAAAAAAACCCAGAGCCATCCTGGGGGTTCCCGAATCTTCCTCTGTTTACTTCCTTTCCCACCCAGCTCCTCGGCCACTCGGGCTCCCCACCTCGGGGCACTGTTTGCCCTCCGGAAGGCTGGCCCTGCCCCTCCTTTTACCTGTGCAGAAACTCGGGAGCCGCGTGGTCCGGGCTGGTCCCCTCGCGGGCTGCGAGGCCGAGTCACGCGTGCAGCGGGAGGGGACAGGAGGGCTCAGCGCGCCCGGGGGCTGCTTCCCACGGAGCCGCGCCGCCCCGCCAGAGCCACGGTCCCCGGCCGGGGCGCGACTCTCCCGCCGTCAGGCCGGGAATCCGGCCGGGAGAGGCGCAGGACTGCCCCTCAGCATCCACAGGCGCCCGGCCGCAGGAGGAAGGAGGAGGAGGCGGCGGCGACGGAGGCTGGAAAATTCGGGGGCGCCCGCCCCTAGGGCTGCGGCTCGCGGGGCCGGCATGCGCGGCCGGCCCCCTCCCTCTGGCCCCTCAGTGGTCGCGACGGCGCGGCTAGGGGCGCAACCGGGGCCCTCCGCGGCGGGAGCGAGGGCCGAAGCCGGGGAAGCCCGCCAGCATCCTCTGGCCCGCCCGCGCGCCGAGCGGAGCCAGCCGAGTCGGGGCGCTGCGCGCTGCACAGTGACTCCCCGCGCGGCGCTGGCGTCTCCGGGGCCACGCGCGCTCCAGGCCCCGGCAGGCGGGCGGCGCCCCTCTCTCCCCGCAGTCGCCGCCCTCTCGGCGAGCGCGTCCGTAGTGGGGGGGGGGGGGGGGGGGGGGGGGGGGGCGCCCCCCCCCCCGCCCCCCCCCCCGGGGGGGGGGGGGCCCGGGGGGGGGGGGGGGGCGGGGGCGGGGGTGAGGCGCCCGGCTCCAGACCTGGCCCGGCGGGGGGAAGGAGGAGAAGCGTGAGGAGGAGCGCGGGGGCGAGTTGCAGGGCCCCTGGCGGCCCCAAGCTCCGACACCGGGCGGCGAGCTGGCGGCGACGGCTGCGTGGAAGCTCGGAGTGGGCGGTGGCAGGAAGGATGGGTTAATCAGCGCCTTTCCCCCCGCAGGCCCGTCTCAGAAGATAAAAGCCCGGGACGTGCCCTCCCGCAGGTGAGGCGCGCTAGGGGCATCCCGGACGCCCCCTCCTCTGCCGCAGCTTCCTTCCGGGCTCGGAGAGGCGGGGGCTGAGGTTTGCGGACGGCTCCCCCCGCCGGTGCGCCTGGCCTGTGTCCCCGCCCACCCTGGCAGCTTTCCGCAGAAGGGCCCGCAGCTGAGCCTGGTTCTTGAAGGAAGGGGGTAGGAGTGGCCCAGGAGGCACGTGGAATTGGGAGAGAACCTGCTTCAAAAAGATCTCTTGTGCACATTCCACCTGTTTGAGGCGTTTTTGAATTTACAAACTCTGTTAAAAACTCAAATGCTCCTTTGAATGGTTAAGTCGTTCAGTCTCTTACACATTAGTATAAATTACTTTCTTTGGATTTGACAGAATATCTTGCCAAGCTCAACCACGGGCTTTAGGAATTTAGATAAAGGGAGAGGAGGGAGATAGGTTGTTTTGGAGCAAAAGTAACAATGTGGGGGAAAGAGTTGCTGAGGACAGCCAGCAGCATGAGAGGATGGGCTCCCTGGGGAGAGGAGGAGATGTAGGTAAGAGAAGGGAGAAACTCAGCCATCCAGGCCCTGGATGAAGATGCCTCCTGGACCTCTTGAGATCATCCTTGAGGGCCCTTTCCAGAACCTCAGGTGTCAACTCACAAACCTTAGGGAATAGATTCATCAGCGAATTGATCCTATCACAGCTGTTTCTGTCCGACTCTCATACTAATTCAGAAAAGCTGCCAGCCTCAGCCCAAACTTGTCGGCGCTTTGCTTCCAAACGTGAGGAATACAACATCAGATTTAGGAGGACGGTAATTTCAGTAAAGCAGCATTTCTCCCCATTGTTTCGGTTTGTTTGGAATCCAAACATTTATTTTGAATTGTTCTACAGTGTTAAAGGAGGCATGATTTTTATGTTTAACAAAGGGACATGTGTTAATAAAGGGGAAAAAAAGCTGATAAATACTGTTTGGGCCTGCTTGGGCACAAGCGACACCCACATTGTGTTTTCTGTGAGTCTCTCCCCTTTTCCTGGCACACATGCCAACCCTTGGGGTTCTGGGGGGCTCCCCACTCGGCAAGGCCACGCCCAGCTCCTGGGCCCTGTGGGTTTTCTGCTGGGCCTTCTGCCACCACCTATGCCCCAGCCTCTCCCCCCCCACACATCCCGTGAAAGAAGAGCGTTCCACACAGATACCCCTGGTAAAAACCCCGATCTCCTGCCCCTCCTGCCCCTCCTGCCCTGACTGCTGAACTCACTGCTCTATTCCCTGCCCTTCCACAGTCCTCCTCTCTTGGCCGTGGGCACCTGTTCAGCAGACCTGTGCTGGGAGCACACAGGATGCCCAGCCGGGCCAGGCATCAGGAAAGACCAGAGAAAACACCCCACCCCTGCCCTCAGGATGCTTGCCAGCTCTGCCGGGGCACCACGTCCACAAAGACAGACCCTCAGTTGAGCACAGGTGACCTGAAGCAGGGCCTTTCAGGACCACAGGGGAGCATCTGGTTGGCTGGAGCCTCTGCAAAGGCTCAGCAGCAGGACAGTACCCACAGCACACTCCGGTCCCTGCTCTGCATTCTGGGTTATGCGCACAGCGCTGCCCTATGGATGTGGGAAGCCCAGCAGGGCAGCTGCAGCCCCTCTCTGGGCCTCCCTGGAAGCCAGGGGCAACTGAGTGGATATTCCAGAGCAAGAGAGGTGATTGGGGAAAACGCAACTAGTCAGAGACAGGCAGTGAGGCCACAAGTCTCATCCGTCTCCCTCACAGCTGTTTCTCCAGGACATGGCACCTAGATACTCAAAGCAGCCGTTGAATGAATGGATGGTTTCCTTAGGAAGAAGTGGCACTTTATAAGTGTCCCTGAGCAGACCAACAGGACTTATTCATTGATGCTGAACATGTCCTGGTCCAGGAGAAATTAAAAATAACCACACTCAAGTGAAAATGGAGGGAGGTGCCTTCAGTTTCTAAGCTATATATTTTGCACTGTTACCTGGAAAGCTGTCATGCATTGCTTTTGCAATCAAAAGGTACAGTAAATCTATCTTTAAAACACATACCAACACACACATGCACACACCCACACAACCGAAGGCCATGAATGGCTCTGTGAGTGACTTGCCTGTGGCACGTGTCCTAAAGTGAAGACAGAATCACGGGCTTGGGGAGAAGCTTGGAGGGCACCCCAACCCTAGCCCAGGATCCCCTCGGACAGGATACCTCTTTGCAGAAGGCACCTTTTGTTTGTATGGTTTGAGACTAGAGATGGATTGCTGAGAATTAATTATTATTGGATAAACAAGAGTGGTTGGGCCCCCTGGGGAAATGTGGTGGCTCCTGAATTCAGCAAACGAGATCAGAGCAGGACCATGGTGTCCTGGGGAAGAAGAAGCGGGAGGAGAGACAGTTACCAGCTCCCCTGGTGCTGGGCCCTGGGAGAGCCCTGACTGGGGCCTTCCCGGAAAGCAAAGCCTGCATGCAGGTGGTTTAATTGCGAGAGTGATTCCTGGGGAAAGAAGTCAGGAAAGCCGGTAAATACAGGGGGCTGTGCCGGTGCGGTCACTGCCGTGGGCAGTGGGGCTTGATCCCTCTGGGACCCTCTGAGGAGCCTCGCAGAAGGCACCTCAGCCTGTTTGGCTGGGTGGCTGGAAGTGGGGAGTATTTATCCAGCTGCTTCCCTCCCACGTTGGTTAAGGGTCACGGGTTGGTGGGTTTCCTCTTGAGTACTTCCAGGTGCCTACAAGCCTCAGGGAGGCTGAGCGGTGGGCACCTGGGCAGGAAACAGGACACTCGTGCAGTGAGGCAAGGTGCCTGCAGGGTGTACCCGCAGCAGCTGAGGAGTACATGGAGGGGCCACAAGGATGACCCGTACAGCGTCCAGACCTTCATCAACTCCTGCCAGCTCAGAGGTTAGCAGCCTTCACCCGGGAGACAGGAGCCCTCAGTCATCAGCAAGCACAGCCTCGGAGCCTGGCCTTGATGCTGAGGGGGACCTCAGACAAATGATTCCACCTCCCCAGTTCTCAGTGTCCTTGTGGTGGGGTGACACAGGCTGACCCTAGGAACAGGGGCTAATGGGCATCAGAATGGTTGGCAAGTCTCCACAGAACAAGTCAACTGGGTGTTACTGTCCAGCTCCTGGCCAGACGGCCCGGCTGCTCTGGCACTGCTGCCCCAGCGGGACCTGCTCAAGGCATGGCTGGGCGCCATCGCCCTTGGGCTGTCCCTGTGGTTACACCCGGGTCCCTCTCTTGACTCCACTGCAGTTTTCCTCTCTGACAGCACCGGCCTGAACGCCACTTCTTTGTCTCTTTCCTTCTCTGTGTCTCTTGGTGCTTCTGCCTCCACGTCAGTCTCCCTGGCTCTGCCCCTGCCTCTGGGCCACTCCTTGGACCACTGTGGATGTGTACAAGTGTGTGAGTATTTGTGAGTGTATGCATACGTGTTTTGTGTTAGTGTGTGACCGTGAGAGTTACATGTGAGCGAGCATGTGTGATGAGTGTGATGGGTGAGCGTGAGCACGTGTGCACGCTCCTGGCAGAGCTGCACTGCTCCACCCTAGCAGGTGGGCTCTGGCCTCACCCCCTCCTCCCCCATCTGACAGCCCTGGTGCCCTGCTCCCTTCCTCGGGCCTGTCCTCTGGCCTGTGGGCGGGCAGGGGGAAGTGGAGCCCAAACAGTGAAGACCACATCCACTTTCCTGGGCTGGGGTGTTTCTGGGTCTGTCCCATCCTGGGTGTGAGCATCTCCTCAGAAGCCAGACCAGCTCTCCTGGTCCCTCCAGCCGAGCATTTGAAACAGAGTAGCTACTACGTAACCTGCGGTTGAAATAACTTCAATTTAACACTAACCATTCATCCCCCTTCACTCACTGATCCGTGCTTCCCAAAGGGCGGTGATCTTGCCTCCTGTGGGATCCTGCCTTCAGGCGTGGGGGCTGTGTGCTCTCCTTTAGCTCTATGACAGAGGTACTACTAACGTTCCCATTTTACAGGTGAGGAACAAGAGTTGACTTGCTCCTGAGCCCACATCTAGGAAGGGGCGAGTGAGGGCTGGAATCCAGGTGCTCCAGACGGCGCACGAGTGCGGCTCCAGCAGGAATCCTCAGGAAGCTTGCACCAGGCAGGACACTGTGATCTCAGACTCGGTGCCTAATATATGGCCAGGGGCAGCCTGCAGAATCGTGGCTCCCTGGATGTCAGAGCTGAAAGAGACTCGAAACAGCATTCTGCTCCAGCCTGGATGGGGAAGTTGAGGCCCAGACAGGTTAAATTGGGGGCGAGTAAGACACATGCCCATGGAGTGTGAAGCAACGTGTGAATGCTGAGTAATCCCGAGGCCTCTACGGAAATGTCACGTTTCCAAAAGCACTCGCGCCCGGGCTCCTCCGAGAAGAGGCACCATAGAAATATGTGCTAACAACCTCTCCCAGCTGCTGGGGATTAGATGGAGCAGAAAAAGATTTTGAACAAGAAGTGGCTAGACAAAGCCCAAGCCGGCAGGAGATGGAGGCCTCCATCTCCAGGGTGCCTCTCCCTCCCTCTGGTCCCAATACCCAGAAAAGCTGAGTCCTGGGGTGGGGGGGAGGGTGGTCAGCAGGCTGGGGGCTTAGAGAAGGGCTGGCTCAACACCCTGTTTGCAGATGTTAAAACCTAAACCATCCCAGCAGCTGTTTCCCTGCCCAGCACCCCATCTCAGGACTTGGTAAGCATCCTCAACCCTGCTCTT